CATGGCCATGGGCCGAGCCGTCTTCCCGGTCCCGGCCCATGACTTTACAGGTCGCTTCCGGGTCCATTTTTTTTTCGACTGTCCGGGACTGGGCCGTTGAAACCACCAACTAAATAAATTTGAATCCACTAAATTCACGCCTTACTAATAAAAGAAGATGTGACAACATTAAATAACAACGATATTTTTTATAATTTTCGTTTTTCCATTTCGAAACTCGATCGCCATATCCCATCAACTGTACGCTGCCAATGTGCAGCGTTACTTACATAGTTGAAAGGCGCACGCACATGGTTTGCTTAAATTCTCGCATTGAAATAAGAGCTAATTCAATAAATTAAAACCTTTTTTTTTTTTTACTGTGGGAAAGGTTTGACAATATGGAGTTATTTTTTAGGGTGTTTGGAAGATGACTTTTTCATTGGGATGCATTTCCCTATCAAGCACTTGTCATTATCCAACTCCTCATTTGCTGCTCCTTCTAGTCCTGCCATTGTGCTCCTAATAAATGGAGAAAAAAAAAATATATATATATATATTATTGAAATTCCAAATTTCAAAAAAAAAAAACATTGTTTGTGCAATATTAATTTACATTTCATACTAAAAAGCAAATTATAACATTGTCTACTCTAACTATAATATAACATAGTATGTCGAGCCATCCACATTTATTCACCAATAGTGTACTCTGTAAATACAATTTGAACAGGTGCCAATATATTAAATGGTGGATGACTCCGTAGAATACCGATTGAATACCGATTAATTTTTGTATAACACCGATTGAAATTCAATACCATGAAGCTCAGGTTTGAGTTCATGGACTTTTAGATACGAATCTTAGCTCGAATAAACTTTCAGCAAATCAAATTCCAAAAGTTTGATCAGACTAAGACTTAAAATTTTGACACATAAATGACAGTTTGACTAAAACAAAGTAAAAAACAACTTCAGGTTATTTTTTTATTATTATTATTATTCACCAATCAACTTGCAATTGACTTGTACACTGCAACACGACTCAATCTGTTGACTTATGGTTATCTTCGTTTTCCTCTTAACTTTATAGTAGTTTATAGCTCACCCTTTTACTATTGTCGTTTTCTGTTGGAACCTAGTGGTGCTCTCTGTACTCTTTTAGTTTGAAAAGAGTGCATTTAAAACAATGCAATATCATGTGCAGATAAAAAGAGACAAAAATAATACTATTAGTTGGACCTAACCTCATAAATTTAACACAATGATTAATCTTGAGCGACGGCTGAGGTGCTTTTTTGTAAATCATTAGGCAAATTGATTCTTCATATTTCTTAATAAAATGTGGTTATAACATACGGAGTCAGTGTTGGTTGCGGTAGATTATCCACACAACATAATCTATATGTGTATCCAATGGTGAAAAACACTGACGGTATGATACCCGTAACGGGACTTTAGCATTTTCATGTGATATAATGGGATACTTTGATTTAATAATATATTATCTCATTTAAAGGGAATTTGAATAAGCCATTGTAATGGTTTATGGAAAAAAAACAAAAAGTACAGAAATAAACGTTAAGGGCAATTTGGGTAATTAAGCAATCACTTTACCTTTCCTGATTGTGGGATGCCGATTTCTTGAGTCCGCCGGCGGCCTCCGCCTCCACCCTGACGTTGGCCATAGCCTCCACAATGCTCCCGCTGTAATACTCCTTCTCCTCCACCGTCACCCCACCGAAGCGCGGATTCTCCGACATGCACCCGATCATCATCGCCGCCGTCTCGTCCTCCGTCGCCGCCGCCCTCCGGACCGCCTCCCTCCGCAGATCAACCCCGCATCCGCTCCTCCTCGGCGGCGTCGTAGGCGGCGGCGCTGCCTTCCTGAACGAGGCCGATCCGCCGCACGCGATGAGGCTGAGAAGCATCGAGTTCCGGCTCAGCAGCGGCTCCACCCCGACCTGCTCCCCTCCCCCGGGTCTCCCACCGTTCTTCTCGGACCCGGTTGATGACGTTGCGGACGGTGGCGACAACGAAGCTGCGCCGCCGCCGCCGCCGCCGTTGGGGAGCGTTAACTCCGACGACGGGCAGTTAATTTTGTGCGCGCCAGGTGTTCGCTTGAATGCTTCAACGATCGGAGGATTATCCTCTTCATACTCATCATCATCGTCTTCGTCTACATTTTCCCGCTGCTCGGTAATTCCTCTGTGCTGTTGGCAGTTTCTGTTCACAAACTCCTCGTGTCGCTTTGAGGCGTGTTTTGGCTGTAAATTTGGGGACTGTAGGGCACTACTCAGTGGTCCTAATTGAAGATTCTGCTGCTGCTGCTGCAGTTTGTCTATAAATGACCAAATGATACAGTAATTTCCTCAAAATCTTAATTTTCACTCTAAATAAATAAACAATAAAAAAAAAAATGAATTAATTACCTTCCATCATGAGCTCAGATCCTTTGAGCACATACTCGGCTCCTTCCGACGGATAAATGACGTCATTTTCCGTCAGATCGTTCCAAACATACCCATTCTTGTAGCTCCTGCAAGTTTATTAAATTAAACATTAATAATAATTTTCTATCTTTTATTTTCAATAATCGAAATTGTTTAAGCAGCATGCATAGTATAGTACCTTTTGCAAGACCAGGAGTAGAGAGAAGGCATGGCTTTACCCCTGAGGACTGTCAGCTTATCGATAACATCTGTACCAAGCATATAATAATTATTAAAAAGAGAAGGGGCAAAAAAGAAAAAAGAAAAGTAATAAGGACTTAAATGTAAATTAAAACCTTTCAAGCGGAGGTGTTGATGAGCAAGATGAGTGAGTTCCATGTAATGAGGGTGCTCAAGATGGCCATTTCGGGAGAGATAATAAACAATCTGGAGTTTCTTGAAAGTGGGCCTCATCACTCGGGGCTTCACGCACGCTTTGCCCCTCTCGGGGCTCTTCTCTCTGCATATTCTCCTCCTCTCTTCCGCTTCCTCCATTTTTGCTCTCTCTCTCTCTCTCGTTTCGAGTAATTTTTGTCTTTAAGGGTGTGTTTTTTCAAGGAGGGTTTTAATGAAGATGTTAAATTTTTACTTATTTGGAGGGGATTTTTTTTAGGAGGGGTGGGAGAGAGAATGAATAAATGTTGTTGGGCTAAAAAATAGAGGGAATGGGAATTAATGTGAAAAAGACGGTTATACCCTTAATGTTGATAGAAATAAAGATAAAATAAAATGATACATAAAATAAGGATAAAATTGTAATTTTACGTTTTGGATTTTTCCTCTTTTCTGAATTCTCTTCCGAAAGTGGCGGGAAAAAAATTAGCGACACAGAAGGGATTTTTGCTTAAAATTTTCTCTCCCTTCCGGCTTTATGATATGAGATATTATATTTCAAGGAATAACCAGTCCATCAGGCTTGTCGGAGGAAATACGGCAAACATGAGAGGTCAGTTTGGCCGAGCAAAGTTGAACAGAGTATCAAGACCATCACAAATGCCATTAATAAATATCAAAATGTCACCGTAACAAAACAAAAAAAAAATCACCATTATGTCATCATAACAATCATCAACATCGTATCAAGACCAAAAGATCACTATTATCATCAGTCTGAGAAGAATCACCACAATTGTATTAAAAGTATGTTATCGTGTCAAACTCGAGCGTTCGAGTATGACCGAACTCGGGTCGAACTCAAGCGGCTTGAATATGTTATCAAGTCGACCTACAGCTCAAATTTTCAATGGTCGAGACGCTCGAAATATGCGATAAAATACTTAAATACTCTATATATATGTAATCCACAAAATTGTCATAGGTGCATAGTTTATAGTTGTTAGATTCGAGCCGATCTCGAGCATCGAACCAATATCGAGCATCAAGTCGGTCTCGAGCATATTTATTTGTTTCGCGAGTCGAGCTCGAGCGTCATTTTTATGGCTCGTCGAGCTCGAGCTCGAGCAGTGAAAAAAAAAATCCAATATATGCTCGACTCGATTCATTTGCAGCCCTAAGAGTGATGAAGATCCATTACGCCTAGTGACCTTTACGAAACTTAGTAGTTCTACAAGATCTCATACCTGATTAGAGTCCAAGACCCTAAATCAGAAATCATTGTCGTTCGCTAAGTTTCTGCATTTTGTCTCAGAGCGTCTCATTATATAATCAGGAATTTATTTCACATTTACCAAAAACTAAGTCCAAAAACTTTCTCAAGAACATGAATCTATAGTTTCATGTTTACTCGAGACTGAATCTAAAGACTTTCTCAATACATGAATCTATGGGGCTGCTACATAACCCTCCTAATACAACGAGCACCTCATCGTATAATCAGAGATTTATTTCACATTCATCATGGACTAAGTCAGAAGACTTTCTCAAAAACATGAATCTACAGTTTCATGTTTACTAGAAACTGGTCCCAAAGAATCTCTCAACAACTCAAATCTATTGAGCTGTTCTGCAATCCTCCAACTACAACAAGGTACCTCCGATAAAGTTGTATCACTCGTGACGAGTTTTTCAGTTTTACTGTGGTATAACATTCCGTACACGTGGTACCAAAATTAAACATTCACTTGTATCTTTTTTTATGACAGTTCTACAAATGGACTTGTGGTATATCGCTTAATATTTCTCTAAAAATCAGACATTCATTTTAACAACCACCTTCTGATATTTAGTACTATAAAATAAACCACCATTTTGTTAATATGGAGTATCCCACAGACAGTCAAATGACTTTCTAATCTTATTTGTACCAACTATCTAACAAGTATGCCGAATAAACTCTGAATTACAATATGTTTCCGACTGAATCTATGCCCTGTCCATAATCCTGTTAGAGTACAAGTTACTGATTTAGATTGAACTAGAACTTATGCGCTCATTAATTATTGACATAACTAATAAACTTAAGAGACATTTTTTCCTTATTAGTTTTAGTCGATGCGTTACTTATTTTCATTTGTTGCATTGTGAGACATTTTGATTCCTCCAGTTCATGAATTATCTACTCATATATCAAATAGATAAAGCATTTTGTTTTCAAGATAACAAATTTACCATCAAAAAACTGTGATATCCATACATGATTTATATCACATACATGATTTATAAACTGAAGGTTAATACTTTCTAAAACATGTTCTATTGAATAGACAACTCTCACTGCACCATCTATCACTTTCGTAGCATAGCTCATTCTAAATTGTATTATAACTATTGTTGGGTCCTATTAGGAACGTCAATCGATGTCTATGTCCAAATCCCAGATAATTAAATTATATATAACTATTCTCGTTATTATCAATATAACTAAATAATATCAATTAACCATTCTTATACATTATATCAATTTTAATTCACTATCCATCCGCTCACATAATTATATTATAATCATCACTTCACATTATCTCCCTCTCTCTCGTACTCTTACAACAGATCGACTTTAATGGAGGTGAAAGCAATTCAAAGGAACAAAAGCAATTCAAAAGGAACAAGCTTTGTGGAAAAGTCAATTAGCTACTTTGATAGGAACATACCATTTGGAATCTCAAAGAATGAAATTTAAGATCACAACATTTTATTTATTTGCATCAATATTGTCCAACTTCATTAATCCCACGAACAAAACAGAGGACTGAGGGAAAGAAAGAGACAAGAGCCTGAGCAGGTAAAAAGGATGCCTTTGACTTGTCATCTATGTTATTTTCTTGCAGTGCTACTATCGTACACCTAGGTATGTCAAAGCTTTTTTAAAATGAACACGTTTCTTCATAAAATGAACATGTATCATTTTATAAAGAAACATGTTCATTTTAAAAAAGCCTTGGCACACCTTGCTAGGTGTGTCAGGGCACACCTAAGTATTTGCGATTTTCTTGGGCACGAACAGTTGTTTCAAGAGAGAGAGAGAGAGAGTTTACGTGTGTGTGTGTGTGTGTGAGGTCAAAATCAATGCGTGTGACTTTAATTTACTTCCACAGTAGATTTTTTGATTGAGAAAGGAACTAAGCATTTTCTATGTTTGCATTAGGGCAAAGGCTGCAGGTACTTACGTCAGTTACATCAGAAAGAAAGTAAATAACAAATACAGGATTTTGCACTTTGCTTGTTTTGTCAACCCCTCCTTAAATTATATATGCAGGTTATCTAGTCTAGAAATATGAATAAAAAAACAAAAAAAAAAGCTGTACGACTTTACATTGAACCACGTGGGTAGCAGGGTAGGCTTTTTCTATTTTATTGTAATTATTATTTTTTAGGTTAATTGCATTTAAAATTTTGACTTTTTGTGTAATTACAGATAAAACTTGACTTTTTCAATTTGACAAAAAATATCAAACATTTAATAAGTATTGCAATTATGTCTCAAAATTAGTTTCCGGCCTTACCAAACCTTGAATAAGATGACCGGAAAAAAGTCACCGGTTCCCGTGAAGGTGGGCGTCACTAGATGCGGCTTTGCGAGAGGAGTTCAACGGTACCTTCAGATTCACATGGGTCAAAGGGAGTCACCGGGAATTTGCGAAATAATGCCGGAGAAAAATTGAAGATCTACGATTTTGACGAGAAAATTCGAAGCGTTATCGTCGGAATTTTTTCGTGAAACTCGGATATGTTGTCGGCACGGAGGAAAACTACAAGATCATGTAAAAATTTTCAACATCCGGCGAAGTTGGCCGGCGGCGGGTGGCAGTCGGCGGCGGTCCGGTGGTGATATATAATTGCAATACTTATTAAAGGTTGGTATTTTTTTTGCCAAATTGAAAAAATTGAGTTTTATTTATAATTACACAAAAAGTTGGAATTTTAAATGCAATTAACTTTTATTTCTATTATATTTTCTTATTTTGATTATCTTTAAAATTCATTTTTAAACTCACAATAATTGTCAGATTGAACGATGAGGAGTACAGAGTTTGATCATTGGATCTTTTGATGTATATGATATGACCCCATAGTTTTGTCATGGGAATACGGTCTCATTACGAAATCATTTCGTTGGAGTTTGTAACCGTTAGATCATCACGTAATCGCCAGAGATAGTTGATCTAACGGTTACAAACTCCGACGGAATAATTCCGTAACGAGACAGTAGAATCTCCCTAATAGAACAAGTGAGCTATATAATTAATTAGATTAATCAAATCATTTGGGAATAAATTTGAAGATGAGTTCAAATTTTTGTCCTGATCAAAGGTGATCAAATAACAATGAAATCAATCAAGGAATATTAGTTATGATTTTTATTAGTTATTTTAAGAATTTGAAATGTATCAAAACCGGATTGTTTCTTTTGGAAAGGATTCCATACCTTAAAAGAAATTGGATTTTAATTGGAGCTTTTTTTTTCAAATCTGATGAGATAAATATGGAAGAACATTTGGTAAAATATTTCTTAGCCATTTTTTCAGTATTTGAACTAAATAAAAGCCAATTTGACGCCTGGTTTCAAATGTATGCGGTCAATTTTTTTAGGAAATCAAATACAATAGTACAACACCCGTGTATTACACAAGTGCTTGTTAAAAAATTATTCTTAAATTTTAATAATTTTTAAAATTAATGAGAAAATTATATTAAATTTAGTTTACTTTTTTACAAAAAAAAAATATATATTACTATATATTTTAGAACGATATGTGTTACTTATGACTTACATATGTTATATTATATTAGTTTTTATAACTTATATCATATAGCTACTTTAAATATAAATATAATAGTTGATAAATAATTTTATTTTTTTAATTAATATTAAAAATAATTTTATTATTGTTATAAAAATAAATATAAATTATTATTTTTATACATACAATATGGATGTTAAATCGAAACTCATCAAAAGAAGATTAATATATTACATATGTAAAACTGATAAAAAATGCAAAAGTTATTAACTTATAAAATATATATACAATTCAATAGTTATAATAACGAATGATATTAAAATACAATTAATACATGTAACATGACATAAATAATCAACATATTTATAGTAATCCGAACCTAATTATTTATGGTTTCAAATTAAATTAAAATTTACCCAAACCTAATAACGAAGCATGTAATTTTGCCACATAAGATTCCGAAGTACCAGAAACAGCCACATAGGCTCAGCGCTTCTGAATTAATATATAGGGGGATTATATACTAATTATTTAGATGCCACATCTCAATATACGAGGTCAATTTTTATGTACCAAAATTAATTTAAAGGATCCACGTAATATGAAATTCTTATCAGTAACTATGTAGTCAAACGAAAAAATTGTGCAGCAGGTGGGATTTTTCAAATAATTTGGAGAAAATATCAAATTTAGGAACAATTAAATATTTTGAAAACAAAATATCACATTGATAAATCAATGAAGATTGAATTAAGTGCATGATATTATATCATGAGGTCTTCTTGTCGTATTTAGTCGTACAAATTGAATGCATACAAATATATATGCTCCAAATAAGTTTTTTTTTAATTAACTAGAATTAATTTTGAAAAAAAATTAGTATGATTATTTACTAGTGGAATTTTGAAGTTATATTAAAATAATATTTAAAATAAAATAATTAAAATTGATTTGATGTAACAGTAGGAGAGAGATAATTCGAAGTGATGCTTAGTTAAAATTATGTGGGTGAATAAATAATGAATGAAAATTGATGTGATGTATAAGAAAGATTGTTTGATATTATTTAATTATATTAATAAAATTGAAGATAGTGAAGTAAGATAAAAGTTGAGTTAAATTTTGAGTATGAATGTGATAAATTTATAAATATATACACACCCTGAACATCAAGGGTCCAACTTAATACACACAATACTAATTTACAGTTAAAAGATAAAACCGATCATACTACAACAGTGCCAATAAAGTTTGTCCAAAACAATTCCAACATTCTCTCTTTTCCTAGCTACTAGGCCTGTATACGAGTAGAGCCGAGCTAGAGCTTAGGGTGCTCGAGCTCGAGCCTTTAATGAGCCAAAAATCAAGCTCGAGCTCGGCTCGTTAAGGTCTCGAGCTCGAGCCTTAACGAGCCGATATCGAGCTTTAACGAGCAAGACTATGAAAAAAATATATAAAAAATCACTTGTCGAACCTTATCAAGCCGAGCTCACCAAACGATCTTTAAATGAGCTCGAGCTTGACTCGTTAAGGCCTCGAACTCGAGCTTTAACGAGCCAAGCTCGAGCTCGATCCGAGCTAGACTTGTTTAATTTAACCGCACACTCGCTACCATTATTTCCCCAACCACAATTAAGTGCTCTTAAATTGATATAAAATCGTTCTTTTGTGCAATTAGCCAGCAAGTAGGGTTAATTTTGTGCACTTAGCCAGCAACTAGTGCTAGTTCTCTCTTGTTTAATATTACTCCTAACAAAAAATCTCCATTGTATTTCTATTTTATAAGTTACAAAAATAAAAATAAAAATGTCTCAATGTCATGGTGGTGATTCCGGTGGTCATTTCTCATCCCCATCCGGAGCCGGTCTTTGACCTATGTGAGTAATGCAAGAACTATGATGCCAGTACTGCCAGATCTATGTTCCTGAAGATTTCAATGAAGGCCAACTTAATGCTTAATGCTTACATATAATGACTTGCTGCACCAATAACAATTACTCTAAGAGCAAGTGCACCTATATCAATGACTTGCCATTGCTTGTCCTCAAAACTAAAA